ATAAAGGAAAGGAAAAAAAAAATAAAATGAAAAGAAATAAGAAAAGAACAAAAACAAAAAAAAACGTGGGTTGCCTCCCACGAAGCGCTCGATTTAAAGTCGTGAGCTCGACTTTCCCGTCAATTCATAGTCAACCGGGCACGGTTTGACGAGCTCCTCCAACCTCATCGTGCTCGTCAAAGAAAACATTCGCCCACTTACTCTTCGGGGGCACCGGTGCATTTCTCCTCGACTTTTCATCAAAATTCACCCCTCTCGGTTTCGCACTTTCACCATTTAACTTCTTTTTCGCCCCTTTCTTGCCCGGTTTCGAACTATTCCCCTTTCCAACATCATTCTTCTTACTCAACTCCTCAAATTTCTCCTCAACATCATCATTAACATTCAATGTCGACCCAACTACCTTCTTCTTCTCACCAACACCATTGCAATTAACAAAATTAGAAAGGGAATCGGGATGTACCATTTTGTCCATGTCGTCCATAAATGAGCATTGGCCAACGTTGGGTGGAGACTCTCGAGCATTGTTCATTGTGAATGTGACCGTCTCTCCATGAGCCGAAAGGGTGACTCGTCCATCCTTGACATCGATAATGGTGTTGGTCGTCGTTATGAAAGGTCGTCCAAGCAAAATTGTGTGCTCCTTCCCGGTATTCGGAACATCTCCCACGTCAAGGACCACGAAGTCTACCGGCACAACGATAGACCCAACTTTGACCAACACATCCTCAATTATACCCTTTGGTTCCCTCAATGTTCGATCCGCTAGTTGGAGACTCATTCGAGTTGGCTTAAGCCCTTGCAACCCCAATTGCTTGTAAATCGAGTAGGGCATGAGATTGATTCCGGCTCCCAAATCTAACATCCCGGTCGTCGCCTTACCATTCCCAAAGGCTATCCTCATCACAAACGCTCCCGGATCGCACTCTTTCCGAGGTATAGTGGTAGAGGCTACCTCGGAAATCATGACTTTCTCATTGTCCTCAAACCTCCGCTTTTTCGAAGCTAAGTCCTTGAAAAATTGCACATATGCCGGAACATTCTTGATAACATCTAAGAGTGGGAGATTGACGTTCACTTTCGAGAGCATGTTGAAAAGGTCCTTGAATTGACGCTCCTTCTTCGTATTTTCCAAACGGCTCGGGTAGGGAACCGGCGGCTTATAAGGTGTAGCCGACTTGTGTAAGCCCTCATGTGTGTCCATCTTCGAATTCTCCTTCTCAATCCCCTCATCAACAATTGCCTTACCCTTCGAGACCTTAACCTCCTCAATAGGATCTTCCTCATCCTCGACAAGAGTCTCCTCCACCTCATTCTCCTTAGGCATCTCCACATGATTATCAACTTGCCTACCACTCCTCAACACCGAGATAGCGTTGACGTGCTCGGGTTGGCTCGGGAGCTTGTCTTTCATCTTACTCCTTTGTATCTCACCGAGGGAAGTCCCGAGTTGCCCCACTTGAGTCTCGAGGCATTTGAGGGAAGCTTGGATTGAAGGTACGCCCTTGACCGCATCATGGAGAGTGGACACAGTCGATGCAAGGCTTTGAAGGTACTTCTCCATATTATCGATGCGAACTTCCGAGGGATTCACCTTAGTCTCATTTTCGGGCTCCGGTTGAGGTGGCATTGGTTGCCTTGGGACAAATCCTCCTCGGGGTTGTTGGAATCCTTGGAATTCGGGCCTCGATTGGTAGCCTTGGAATTCGGGTCTCGGTTGATATGGTCGGTTTTGAGGAGGTGCGTAGGCTTGAGGTGGTGCCGGTTGAGGTGGGTAGTTCGTTTTCGGGTCCCTCCAAGAGAAATTAGGGTGACTCCTCCACCCGGCATTGTAGGTGTTCGAATATGGATCATTTTGAGCTCGGGGAGCATACCCTTGCACGGCATTGACATCAAAAGGGACCGTCACAACATTCGGGTCATAAACCGGCTCCATATAACGTGGACACTCATGGCCTCCATGCCCCATTTCTCCACAACAACCACACACCTCCGCCATAACTACTTGAGTCGACTTGGCATCACGTAGACGAAGGTGTTTGAGCTCCTCCTCCAATGAGGCTAACTTAGCCAACACGGCATCATTAGTTGACCCGGACGATTGTGTAGCCTCATTCACGGGAGCCCTCTTGCGTACACTTTTCCGTTGGGAATTTTCGCTCAACATCTCATACAAGTCATATATCTCTTCGGCCGTGTGACTCCCGATATCTCCCCCGGCCGCATGGTCCACCATGTATTGGAGGGTTTGGTAGAGCCCATCATAGAAGAATTGATTCAACACTCCCAAGCAAAAGTGATGATGTGGGCATTGGAGTTGATAGCCCTTGAAACGCTCCCATGCTTCGTGAAAGGTCTTGCCCGGGTTTTGGCTAAAGCTAGCCATTTGTGCTCGGAGATCGGTTGTCTTTTGATGCGAATAATACTTGCCCATGAACTTCTCGTATACGGCTTCCCACGTGTTGAGCGAATTCGGAAGCAATGTCATGAACCAAGTCTTGGCCCGATCTTTCAAAGTATAAGGGAAACATCTCATTCGAAGTTGGTTTTCGGTTAAGCCTTGGAGAGGGAAAGTGTTGACCGTGGAGTAGAAATCTCGGATAAAGTTGAGTGCATCCTCTTGTGCGAGGCCATAGAACGAGGGAAGTTGGTTGAGGTGGATCGTCTTGAGGTCATAGTTTCGGGCCGCCTCCCCAAGCTCAAGGCACGAAGTGTTGTCTCCAATGATTGGTCGTGCAAAGTACCTCATGTTTTGGGGCGGTTGTGGCAATTGATCTCCTTGTCCTGCCATTGGTTCGGGTTCGGGCTCCGGTTGTGGTTCGTCTATGTTGAGCTCAACGAAAAGATTTAACGGTGGAGTCTCCTCTCGGGTTGCTTTCTTCCGTCTACCCCGCATAAACACAACCAACAACTATACCCGTGAATGCACCAATGGAAAACAAGAGCAAAACACAATCAACAAAAATAAACTATCTACAAAAGCAAGAGAAATCAAGAGAAATACGGAAATTAACCAAGGTTCACAAAAATCAAGAGAAACACGAGAAAAAGGGACAA